GTCATGTAACTTCTGATCTCTGTGGAAACATAGGATTCAACCAAATCTTAATAGCTTTTGGGGAAGGTTGCTATTATAATCTCTTTCAACATTTAACTGAAATAACAGGTGTTCTAACCCACCGCCCAGAAAAAAACAAAAAACCTACACATACCTCCAAAACAACCAACAAAAAAGTACCACCAACCCAAAACCAGAACCAAGTGGAGTATGACAGTTAATGGGACTGTTTGAGATTTTTATTCATATGTATGTATGTGTGTGTGGTAAAAGAGCAATTTTTTTGTATATACAGGCAAACATTTATTTTTGTATTTTATAAATCTAGATTTATTTATACATTTATCAGTTTTGTAAATACTTACCTATTTAGACATCTTATAAATGTACATATAAACACATAATGTGTTTTGTAAACATATAAAGATAGATGACATCTCTTCTATATCTAAATGTGTTAATTTATATATTTTGAAATATATGTGAAATCTTGAAACATTTGACTGCTGATTGGCTGACAACCTCGAGTCCAGAGACAGTGCCATGGTTTCAATGCATTGTTTTTGATCTGTTAGTTGACCAGGCTGTCAAGTCGATTAACTTCACCAATAAAGTTTAGGATAGCAAATACATGCATGTAGCAAGCAATAAGCTACAGCTTTATGTGAAGTGATTCGAAGAATGTCATGAGATAACAAAGTGTTAAAAAGCAAGTGACACATCATTAATGTAAAATGGCAGAAGGAAAGGAGGTAACAAAACTGCAGGTCCCACTACATTCATGTCAAGAGATAGAACACAATAAACATAATGGTCTAGCAGTAAGAAAGTCTCCTGCTTAAAAAGCAGTATGAAACAGAAATTAATGGCACAGTCATCAGAAAATTAAGAAAAACGATATTTCCTGAAAATATCAAAAATAATCTGTATTTTGATAGAGATTATCTGCTTGTCTTTTGTAACAGCCAGCAACAAGGGCTTATATAGCCAGAAAAGATTTCCAGTAAGTTAAGGTAAGCTTTTCCCCCTTGACACACAAAGCCTTTTTTTTTTTTCGAAGATCAACCTTACTGCAAAAAGTTCAACACTAGAAATTATAAACAATATCTTCTAATTATTAATAAATTAAATCTTCTAATTAGTAATATATCAAATGTAGGCATTAAACTTCAATCTTCCTTTTAATAACTAGATATTAATTTCTGTAAACAGCGTGGTAGGAGGATGTTTTATTGTTTTCTCCTCCTGTACATATTGTCCCAAAATTCATACCTGTTTTAAAAATATTTCTGCATATTTAAGAAACAGTATGAATAAAACATTACATACATGTACATGTATTTGTCCAGCTTTGCTGCAAAATGGCGCGGCATTTCTCCACATCCGTAATAATTTCTGTCATTTTCAGGTAAGTGATCCACATCGTGAAATATTATGCAGTCCCAGATGGCATCTTTCATAGCCTCTTTGAAGCCAACATTAAAGAGCATTGCACGATTAAAAGGTTGTGTACCTGTCTTCAAACAGAAAACAAAGGAGATACTGTAAAAATCAAGAAGAGACAAAATTTCAATACTATGAGAAATACATATCATATCTGTCCCCCCCTCCCAACACACACACACACACACAATATTGACAAAGATGCCTCTTTTGCCGAGCTGTTGATGCTGGGTTTGATGCACCCCAGGATGGTGTTTGCCCTCCTGGCACAGACTGCTGGCTCACGTTGAACCTCCTGCCAAACAGCACCCCCTGTACCCCTTTGTGCAGGGCTGCTCTCCAGTCACTCCTCTCCCAGTTTACACCTGTGCCTGGCTTTACTTTGTCCTAGGTGCAGAATCCAGCATTTTGCCTTTTTAAATTTCATCCCATTAATCACTGATCAGTGCTCCAATTTATCTAGATCCCTCTGCATCCCATCCCTCAAAAGTCAACAGTACCTCTCAGTTTCATATCATCACCAAACTTGCTAATGGTGCACTCAGCTTCTGCATCCACTGAACAGAACTGTCCCCAGAATTGAGCCCTGAGGAACACTGCTAGTGACCTATTTTTTTCCCTTGAAAGCTTCCAATGACAACACATTCTAAGAGGCCACATTATCCTCTATAAAATATCAGCCCATATTTGAAGAAAAGCATGATGTATCTGGCCGCTGCTTAAATTGAGGAATTAACTTTCCTTGTTCATTTAAAGGAGTAGAACAGTTGAGTAACAATTTTTAAATTCAGGATTCATCCAACTCTTGGTAAGAATATCAAATCCCTGACAGTAAGGAATTCTGAGAAGCCACTTTTCAAGTAAATGCTGTTACCTGTTCAACAACATAGAAGGCAAATTCCAGACGTTGCTTCTGCAACATAGGTATCAGATGACGGAAAAAAATTGGAAGATGCTCATGGCGATTCCGAAAAGGAATAAGGATTGCCACCTTAAAAAAATTACATATATATATATAGATAGATAGATATACAAAGCTATTATATCAGCATTTAAAAATTTTAATATTTCAATACAGATCAAGTTTCCCATGGCTTACATAGGCTTTTCAACTTTCACATTTAAATTGGTTGGGTGGTTCACACTTTGTTTTCCGCTAGGAAAGTGTGTTGGAAATTTGCTCAAACAATTAAGAAAAAAATCTGAACAAAGTATAAATAAGATTTTCTTTTTATGTTTGCTTTCTTCTAGTTATACTTCAAGCATCAGACACATAGGATAGGTCTGCATCCATATGATGAAATGTTTAGTAACTACAGTTAGCGAACTTTTAAAAGTCCCTGATTATCCATTTCAAATTTTTCTCCAAGTTATGGTTTCTTCTAGAGCACAGATGGCACAACAGATATACTATAACATAGTATATATTTTATGTATAGATATACATATAAATATATATATATATATATATATCTCAGCAAAAGACTGAGTGCTTGCAATGGTAAACTGTTCTCATGTATCAAGAAGAAAAAAAACAAAACAAAACCAAAAATCAGCATCTCACCTTCCACCGTGGCTTACAGTCTTTTGGTTTCCAGTGTCCTCCTGGTTCAATGTCTGAATCTTTTGAAAACAGTTGCTGAATTTCATCAAAACTAATTTCACTCATATTGACATCAATAAGGCCTCCTAAAGAGAGGAAAAAAACCCTATTGTTTATTCATTTCAATTAAGACAACTGTGGTAACACTACATGTTATACCATAGACAAATGGCATTAGAAATTTGTAGTTACACTGCCTACATATTAAAAAAGAGACGATTTATACTATCCTCCTAATATTTAATTTTTACAGAGTGAATTTCAGTGTTTCCCAGTAAAAACAGTCCTTCCATAAGACCTATAAAGAAAATACTCTTATCAGAGGACACAGAACAAGCAAAGTAGTTTGAATTCTGTATCTATTACAGAAAATTAGGGTCACCTTCCATTTCAAGTACCTCTGGGAACAATTCTACATCATCTGCACTACTGAACCTCTATTCAAATTCTGTGTGCCTTCCTACTGCACTTCCACATTAAAAGAAAATGCATCACCACTACACTCAACAAACTTCTTCAATTTAAATTCTAGATGATTATGCACATTTCATGTATAATCTTCATCCAGTAACTCACCACTGTCTTCTTCAAACCAATTCACAGCAGCCGACTGGATTTGAAAATTACCACCACTAGTGAGCCCAATGGGAAAAGCATTCACAAAAGGCTATTGATGAGAGTGGAATTCAGTAAGTTATTCAATAAAGACCATAATATGGTTTTAAAAAAATCAGGTTAGAGAAAATATTAACACTCAGTTAAATACTAACACTCAGCTAAAAGTTGTCAATCATTAGCTTATGCATGTGCAAAAATTTCAAAATCAGAAATAATGCTTTTCAGTACACTCAAAAGCAGTAGCACAGGAATTCAGATAATCTGGAATTCAGATAATCTGGAGAGAAGAGTAGTGCAACATTCATTAACCAGAAACTCAAGTTGCTCTTCAGAAACTACTATGTTCTAGATCATCAAACAAAAATCTTGCAATAACTATCTGACAAAACACTACAAAATATTCTACTTATTTTTGTCTAAAAATTTAAATATTCTGGTGAGGGTTGGTATTTGAAAGACAGTCAAAGAAATCACTCCCATTTTCCCCCCTATGCCCACACCAAAAAGATCTTATTTGTGCCAAAAGATTGCTTCACGTCACTGAATTGACTAGTTATCTAAATCTTTTCAAAAGACAGAAATTTTTGGAACATACTAGGAATAACTATGGTTTTCAGAAGAAAGTAGAAGATACTGCAAGAGCTATTTTAGGTTTGGATATGATTAAATATAGTAATTCTTGTAATGAAGAAGGTAACTTTTTTTTAAAGTAAAATTATAGGGGGGAAAGTATCAAAAACAGTACAATATGGAGATCCTTCAAGTGCAGATTTAAAGAAACCCACATTTATTTAATTATTTTAGAAGAAAAAGTTAACCTGACACTTACTAAAAATCCTGGATAAATATAAGACAGAACAAGCTAATCCTACAGAGATTTAAATAAAAATTTGAAAATAATTAAAAATAATCAGTTAAAAAAAATTTTGGATGATCATTTTCATTGTGTTTGAAACACTTTAATAACGTGAAAAAGAAATCCAAGGTCAATCAACGAAGGACCAGTATATAAACATGTATGAAGTAAATAAAAAAAAATAAAAATCACTAAATCAATTTCAACTACCAAGAGACAGAGAAGCAAAGAGCCTTTCAGTTTATTTACAGAATCTAATAGGAAAAGGAAGATAAACAAAGGTCAATTAATGCACCAGAAAAGGAAGCAAACTACATACAATATGATGTGACTCAGATGCCTTAGTCTCCTGAGAAAAGTTTAGATGTGATCAGCTGCTTACAGTTTAAATTTAAAAAAAAAAAAAAAATCAAATGGTAAACCAGTATTTACATAAGGTAGGTGCTTTTAACTTCATGCAATATGAAGGAATTCCTTCCAGACTGTTTGAAAAGTATCTGTAGTAAAACCTGAAGTATTGGCAGTAACTATCAAAAGTACACAGAAGATGGGTGAATAGAATTCAGCATTTTTTCCTGTCATTGGTGGGGACAGGAGAATGCACCTCTGTAAGTATCTGGCCTTAGTATTCACTACTTCCATGAGTGTCTAGCAAGCTGCAATAAGACATATTTATAAAACCCACAAAAAAAGAAAGCTGAGGAAGCAAAAAGCATTTTGAAGAAGAGAATCAGAAAGTAAAATGACTTCAACAAATCAGATACATACAGAAATGAATAGAGTGAAATTAATTTAAAAAATATGGATTGTTACGGAAGGAGAAATGAAGAATACAGAGGCAAAACAGGAAAAACCTGGCTAAGTTGCAGTATGTAGAAAGATATTTTTAGAGTTTATAATGCATTTCCTATTAATATGAGCTAATGCTACGAAATGCAATTACACAAAAATAGCAAATCTCATCCTGGAATATGTTAACTGCTGTTACATGAAAGACAGAGAAAGTAATTACTAGTTTCTTTTGTAACCAGGGTTTCACCCAGTTACAAAGCTTTAAAAAGAAATCGAATTAGAAACAGTCTACAGTACAAAAAAAATCAAGAATGACATGAGCTTTAGAAGCTACATGGTCTAGAAAGGTTTCAATTATCAGTTTATCTGCAAAGGAAAAGACAGACTCTTGTACTGCTTCTATCTTGAAGTAGAGGTGTCTTGCTTATGAATTACAACAGCAGTGCTGAACCACTGGGTTATAACCTGAAAGACCAAGTCACACACAAAATTCAATAGCTGCTCCTATATGTACTTGGGACAAAACATGTTTTTACTATACTCCTTTCGTGATACAAATTTGGCAAGTTGATATAAAGAAGTCGACTTCTATAATAACCTTTGACTATTAAGCATGTGAAAATATACATGATTCAAGAATCCTTCTTCCCTGGCTATCTCAGGACTACCTAGAATATTTCATTGCATTAATTGGTCTTCAGAAAAGCTTGAGTTTGATTATAATTAAAGACAGAGATGATGATTAAAAAGGTATACGTGAAAACCAAAGGGTGAAACACATATCCCCTTGTTGAACAGCAACTTATCCAGTGAATTATTTTCTATTAAAATTATTATTTCTCTATTAAATTAAACATGATGGAATAAGTACAAAGCAATTACTGCCAAAAAAAGAGGGGAAAAAAAAAAGATGGTAAAGAGAGAGCAGCAACAAGGAGACCCATAGGGAAATTCTATTAGAATTACATACGGTAAACATGGCTGATAGCAACAATGGCAGAGCAGAATGCTTCCCTACTCTGGCAATTCTGAACACCTGGCAATTCAAACAAATCTGCATCAAAGATTTAAGAGAACATACTGTAAGCTGACCTATAAGGCACCTTAGTACCTTCTGACTTGCCTCATTCCTCCACTCCGGGACAGCAGACTAACACACAAGTAGAACAGGTAGCAGAAGTCAATACAGTTTTGAACTAATCTCAGAGAATTCCAACTGCTAGATCCCTTGAAAGTGCCATTAAAAATACTAATACTACTTATATGCATTTGTCAATCAGTATAACCATCTTTCTTGTTTCTCTGATTATCCAGATTTGACATTTTCTGAACTTGTTATCTGTTTCCCAAAGTAGCATATTTACTACTGGAATAATTTAGTTTAATTTGTTTATATGCGCAATATTTTATAAAAATGTAATATTGAAAGTCAAACCCTATGTCTGGAGGGAAAGAGGCTGAAATAAGGATATTATAACAACATGGGGCTAATTATTAAGTGGCTTACAATTTTCTATATGATTTTGTTTCATAAGAAACAGCAACTGATCTATACTTTTGGCTCCGTGCCTGTATGTTTACGATGTTAAGAGATAAAGTTTAGAATGTGGCAGTATTGAAAAGAAACACAGACAACACACACTGTTTCTGTATTCTTCAACAGATTAATTTCTCAGTTGAGATTTAAAAAGAGTTATCATGGAATCTAGATTATCCTAATAAAATCCACTATTTTTCTTTTAAGAAAAATGAGTCAGAATTTCATTTGGCTGTCAGCAAGATTGTTTGGTATGATATGGATCTGAACTGCTACATTAAATACTTAATTACTTGTTAATGCAGAATGACAGCCCACAGATTAAGTCAGCTGTTAGCGTAAGAGCTTAGAATTCTGGAATCTATCACAAATAACTTCAGAAATTATTTGAAATTTTCTCTCTTACAAATGGGTAGTTTAATTAGTTTAATTATTTGATTTTAGATATTGCAAGTAAAATAAACACATTAGTGTAATAGATACTGCCAGTTACTAACAAACACACTTCTAGTAACATATTAACACTTATTTACAGAGATTTTTTGAGTCGTCTTCTCTAGCTGGTACATTCTGATACCACATGAGACAGTTCTATTTAAGTAATTATCTTAGAGATATATATTAATGCTATCATTAGTTTTTCACTCAAAAATAGTCTGTCTACAAAACATTTACTAGAACCGAAGTAATTCAGTGGATTACTGACTCAAGTTCTGATTTCTTCCAAATGCAAAGCACAAAAAAAAAATATAATCATCCTTTACTTCCTACAGGAACTCTGATAATCTAACAACAATTCCTAACAGAGAAAAAAGCTGAAAACTCAACAGTGGTTTCTATGCAGGAAGTTTGTTTCAGTCAAGGGACTGCAATTTTATTGAGATTAAATATCAGAACAACTTATAATAGCAAAATATCAGTGGTGAAGGTCAGTGTAAAACAGCCAGCACTAGGACTGATTTGCCTCTTTCTTTTTTAGTATTTTAAACAGCTCAGTATTTAACAGGTGTCAGGTCACCTACCTAACCCTTCCTGTTTTCTAAGGATTGCTTTCTCTACAAGCTGGGGCAGACCAAACAATGACCATAATTTTGTCTGGACCTGAATAATGGCAAGTTTGCAGGAAAGGGAAATTCACATGACAGCTTACAGTTTTTAACAAGAATTTTTACAAATATTTCCAAGCGAAGCTATACTTTGATTATAGCAGGGGAAGGACTCCTCTCTCTGAGCAGCAGCAGAAACAACCTGTGATGAACTGACAATAATCCCTGTGCTGCTGAGGGAGAGGACCTAGAACCTGGGAAGGAAGGAGGGGTGGGGGAAGGTGCTTTCAAGATTTATTTCACGTCTCATTATCCTGCTCTGATTTTGCTAGTAATAAATTTAATTAATATCCCTATTTCAAGTCTGTTTTGCCATGACAGTAATTGGTAAGTGATCCCCCCGTCCTTATTTCAACTCATGAACCTTATAGTTTCTCTTCTGTGTCCAGTTGGAGAGGGAATAGATAGAGTGGCTGTGGTGCGTACCTGGCATCAAGCCATGGTTAACCCTCTAAACCTGTTTAATAGTTTGCAATCTTAAACATCTGCCTTTGGAAGTCCTATTTTAAAATTTCCTGAGAATCATAACTTTTCATTTGTTTTGGAAGTACTAATTCCTCATTATGGCAGGGCTTTGGCATTTTCTTATCTCTGTGAATTCCCACTTCACTACACCGTCCTGTTAAGTTTTCTATATATTGGTCTAATTGTGATTACCTCATAAAGGTTTGAGAATCGGTTTCTGACTCAGGAATCTTTCTATTAGGAATACCATTTCAATAAAGCAAATTCTTAACTATTCCTCAATATATGCAACTCTGAATGAGTACTTTATATGAAGTTAAGAGTATTCTTACATATTAATAAAACCATTTATTTTTTCATTTGCTGAAACTAAAATTATTTATAAATAAAATTTAAAACACATTACTGCTACAACAGGCACATGATGTGAATTTTGAGGATGGTCCTGTGCAGGGCTGAGTTGGATATTCTGTGATTCAATGATTATTAAAGAGGTCAAAAGCTTTCGTAACATTACTTACAGGCAAACTTCTGATAAGCATCACTGTCCATTATCAGATGTATTTTATTCATTATTTTCTACTATATATTTGGACTCCTTGCAATTATGTTTTATATTAAAATAACTGCATTTTGTACAAAGTACAATTCAATTTACTAGATAAAGATTAAGGTCAATTTAAAACTTACTCATATAAGGCAGCTTCTCTGGACAAGCCTGGTAAGGAGAGTAGGTGAAGTTCTCTGGAAGATACATTGTTGTTTGAGCAATGCAGTCACTAGAATTGTTTCCTTCAGGATAATCTTAAAAAGAAGAGTTGATTTTTGTAAAAACCTACATTATCCACAGAATTTGTAACACCATCATGCAGGTGAGAGCATTAACTTTGTAAGCAGTAAATCCACAGCAGCATGATTAAAAAAGCATTTTACTGCACTAAAGGAAGAATAATTAAATGATGGTATCTTTGTTATGGTTGTGACAAATATTTCTTTCTAAAACGAATTGATAAAGAGTTTGACTTTCACTTCAGTTACAGAGAAGTAGGACTTAGGTCCAAATTTTCCTAATCAAGATATGGCATTACTGTTTGGCTTTTTTAAAAAAGCTCATTTAAAAATGAAATTAAATAAGAAACATTCTTACCTGTCCCATTCAGTGTAGTATTTTTGTTAGTGTACAATCTGATCATGTGTCCTATTGTTTTTACATTTTCTCTCAACATTATCCCACGAGCTTGCACCATAAAGAGATACGTGTTTGCTGATAAAAAAAAAGCAATTTTGAATTTGAATTAAAATAAAGTATTTCCAAATTATTCAAACATACATTTATAATGTGTTCAACATTTGTTCCTATGTCTGAATCCATGGTTAGTGAATATTAATTCTTCAAAATGAAGGTCCACGGAGTGAAACCTAACAGTAACAACACACAAAAAGAAAATGTATTCATAAACACAGCTCTATATAAAGCCCAAAATTATAAAATGTCAATAGACACTTGATATGACACTTTCATTTCTTTTTAACTTACAAAAACAACTGAGAATGACAAGAAACAATTTACTGACAAAAAAGTTTTCATATGTAGATATATCCCAGGACCAAAAAAAAGTCTAGAAAATCTTTTAGTCCAATATAATGGTCTCCCTTTTTACTTATTAGTTAACACAACTTTCAGCCAAAATGCGCTGCTATTCATTTACTCCCAACAGCTGCTCTGTTATACAACTGCTACAAATCACTGCCAATCTCATAGTATTAATGTTTGATAATTATACATTAAATATTTATTATCAGCATCAAGGGTGAGTAAATCAACATTCTGGGTAATTAAATGACTCACTACCAACAACAGCATGAAATATTCCTCTGTGTCAGACATGCACCCAAAGCCTCAAATCTGATCTCAAGACATTTCTTTGAATTAAACAGAAAGAAATAAGGTGGAAATGAAGCTGCATTTATATTTGATCTGAGCAAGCAAATGTCTATCCAGGACTCACAGAGCTCAAAAAATATTGCAAAGGGAAGGACAAATTTTCTTTACGGAACAGTTTTCACGCTGGGTAGCAAAGAGAGTCAAAGGGATCACCTGTCACTTCACCTACGTTAAGCACTCAGTTGTCTAAGGGATACTTGGCTTGCTGTAATTAGCAATCACCCTAACAAAACAACAACAAAAAAAAATGCTCAGTCTTTGGAGGAAACTAAACATACCAGAGGGGGGAAAAAAAAGTTAGAAAATTATCTCAGGAACTCCACTTCGTCAGATGACTCAGCACCAGTAGCATGACAGATCAACTGATAACTTCTTACAGCCCAACACAAAGAGACCAGAGCCCCATGTACTGCGTATAAAGGACTGGGACATTTACAGAGGAAAATAAATTGATTAATTCCACCACATTAGCAAACAATACTATTGACACCTACCCAGATACAAACACCAACATAATCTGTCAAGGAATATTATTTGCAAGCCCTACAATAATAGCGTTTGTTTGTTTTTTTAAGAATGGAGGAGTTCTCCTCACTTTCAAAAACTCCTTATTAAAACAAGGAATATTAGAGGCTCTGAACATCCCAGGTGCTATGCATGGCATGTAATTCCATCAAACCCTTTGCCAGCATGACTACCTGTTTTGGTTAACAAGAGTTTACATGTTTATAAAAGTTACTCAGCTGCTAGGATCCTGTCTCAACACTCCCTGGCCACTAAAATAGAAACAAAAGAAAACAAGAAAACTAGAACCTTGGCCTGATGACAGAGCTAAGAAATTCCACAAGAAAGATTCTTAATGGGATTAAATACTCAGATTTCCTTACACAAAACTTGCACAAAAACTTCTCAAAATTTTCACCCAATTAATTATAAAGTAACACTTTGGGATTCCAACTATTTAGTTACATTTGTAGTTTACCATTCAAATACTGGGGTTTTTTATGGTGTCTGTACTAAATATTTCAGGGAATCTGTACAATTCTTTTGTTCATAGATGAAGTTACCTACCCAAGAAACCTTCTCCTTTAGAAATCAACACAAAAGTAATTTGATCTGTTCCTTGCAGAACAATTATTTACCTTTAAACAAACAATTTCAACATTCAAAGCTTCCCTCAAAGTAAAACAAAGTGGATTTTTGCCTTTCAAATAGGACAAAAATTCCCTTATTAACAAAGAATTACTTCTTTCAAATTTTAACACATTTCAAATTAGTATCATCCTCCCTCTTTTTCCCAGGTATGTTCCCTCCCCCATAAGTACAGCTCTTCTCTTTGATATTTTCCTATTCCACCACTAAAATAAAGTTATTTTTTAACATAAATCACTAAGCAAATACTGATTTCAGAGATAACCTCTGGAGATTGTTCACTGTATCCTGCTTTTTAGCATGAAAAGCCAAAGTCACCTGAGTTTCTATCTCTGCAGAACAGCAGGTTTATAGAAACATGATCTTAATTCCCATATAGCAAATGTGGTGGATTGACTGGATAAGAGTAAGCCCCCATTCACTTGCTTGCTCACTCTCCTGCAGTGGGACGGGAAAAACAATCAGAAGGGCAAAGGTCTTAGGAACCTGATAAAGTACAGAACTGTGACTAAGCCTTTCAAACAAGTCCAGAACAAAGTCAAGAGAACCATGTAATGGTTCTCAATTTTCCAACTGAGAACCAATGTTCTCAGTTTTTATGGGAAATGTTACTGCAGTCAAGATAACTTAGATATAAACCTTGATAAAACAGACTTTCTGCAAAAGTATCTGTATCTCCCCTTTGCTGAAGGACAAATATACTCATTCTGACAGAGGAGAAAGATTTGAAAAGACACACAAGACTTTAGTGAGAGAGAAAGCTAGGAAAGACATTTGTCTCAAAAGCAGGCACCATGAAAAGACATAATCAATAAAAATACCACCAAAAAAAACCCACAAAAAACCCAAACCAGGAAGAGTCTGCTGCCTTGGCTTAAGTATTCAAGAGTGCTCTTGCTGACAGGAAGATCAAATGTTGTCATGTTTTTATCAAGTTACTCTTTTAG